CCACTTTTACCATCCTCTCCTCATCCTCATAATTGGCATTCTACATGAATTCACATTAGATAATTACTTAGGAGAATGCGGAAAACGTTTCCAAATGCCAAAACTTTTATTATCGTTCATAATTTATGTAATTTTAATAAATTTTCTCCATTATTCAAGAAAATATTCTAAAAATCCCTCAACACTTAATTAATTATTCCAACAGCATTAGGGTTAGGGTTAGGGTTAAGAAAAGTACAGTCAACGAACGAGTAAGTAGGGATATATTAAAGTATAGGCTGATAAAAAATTGGAAAAATACCTAGTCAAAATATAACAATTGATGTTTAATGGATCATTTAAAAAATATTTCAATTACGTTGTAATTTATAAAGAGAATCTCTTTTAGTCCTCCTCCGATTACTTTCTTTATTCAATATAGATTTATATTATTTATACTAAACGTTTTGAGCGAGTTTAATAACTTAATAAATATAAATTGGTGTTACACTAATAAAGTATTTATTATAAAATTTATCTATATTTTTAATGTATAAAGGAAATAGAATACTATTTAAACTAGATGGAAACAAAGTACTTTTTAAGCTTTTGGATCTAGCATCCATTTACATATAAATATAGAAATTATAGGGAATTCATTATTGTGGCAAATCTGTGGCTTCCAGAATCAACATGATAGATACCCTTCTCAGGTATACTGTATACATATATAGTTGATTCTCTCTCTTTTCCTTGTCTCTCAAATGAGAAACATCTAATTACTTCACCATTACTTACGTATTTCTGCTTTCTTAAAGCATTGTCTTTTTTTCCACAAACCCCTTTAACTGTTAGGCCTTTTCCAATTATTCTTTACAGTCTTAAATGACTAGAAATCAATTTTTCTCTCTATTCCCTCTCCTCTTTTATATCTAATATTAGAATTTTATTTTTATTGAACACGGCTGAATGAACAAATACTATGAACCAGAAAAACAATGGACTAAAACGTTGTCCTTTTATTAGTCAACTTGTGTCTGTATACTATTTGAATTAGGTATAGAAATTATTGCAAAATAGGAAAGTCATATAGATTGAATACATTTTTCGCATATGGTTTTGAAGAGAAATCGTTATAGGATAATATAGGCTTAAGGCAACGTAGTAGTTTAATTATTACGTGTTTAGAAAGAGGAGGTAGAGGATTAGTGGGGCCGAAAAGAAAGATCTTTCTCTCTTTTTTGTAAATAGTCAACAGTAGAAAAAGTAGTTGTCTTCCCTAGGAAAACATGTTTGATTACCTCTTAATCCTATAATATGATTAATACGTAATTTTTATAAAGCTTGAACTCTTTCTAGTTGATGTTAGGTCATTTTTCATTATAGAATAAACATGTACAGATATAAAATGTAAAGTATTATTGATTTTATGTATATTTCATATCGTTATTTACTGTTTTCTAACAATAAATTAATGAGACGTTTTAGTAATCAATTGGATAAAAATATATAAATAATCCTAAATTCAGAGAGAGAGAGAGAGAGAGATAGAGCGAGAGATAGAGCGAGAGAGGGAGAAACGAACCAAAGAGAGTTGTATCCTATATAAAACTATTCGATTTCCTCTCGATATTATCATGAGTGAAGCCAAGGCCATACTTTAAAATGAAAATCGATGTAATTGTTTATTCTCAGAGTTGAAAACTTTTCTTTATATAACCTTTATATTATCTTTATAAAAACAAATAATAAGTTTAAGACATTTAGAAGATATTCTCCTCTTTGTCTAAGGTTCAACAGCCTATCATTTCTCAACAGTCAATAATATGCTCTAAGCTACCTTTGATTTGTCTATTTTATAGGACGGAATTTATGTTCAATATTTTCATTTTTTGTTCGCAAGAGGTCATCAGGTTTTCTCAGCTATAATTTTACTTTTTCTTCAATTACCATTAGCGTAAGTTTATTGTTCAATTTAAAAATATGTAAACATGAATCTTTTAATTATGCAATCGTAGATAGATAGCCAGATACTAAGAGAGATAGGCGACATAGAGAAAATATAGAGATGAGGCAAAGACTTTTTATATATATAACCCTGTACATAGATATACTGTATAGTATATAAATGAATTACCTTTATTAACGGAAATAAATGATATTTAACAAATATAGAGTTTATTAATGTACATAGAACTGTTTATTGCAGATCACCATCTGTTCAAATCAATCGATTTTAATAGAATATTTTTCAAGCTTTCCAATAAAATTCAGGTATTTATAAGTTATTATTAAATATTTTCGTTTCAAAGTTCGTATATTAACTAAGCTTTTAACCTTGAAACGACCATTATTTTTTATACAATATTACTATTACTATTATTGTTTCTGCATAGAAATTGCAAAATAAAAACAATAGCTGTTCAAGCGAAATTCTATTGCAAAAAAATTCAAAAAAACAGTTCAAGTATCTATAAAAGATTGCTAAAAAATCTTTCGAGTATAACAAAGCAAGTTAGGTATATGTTTTAATATTCATATTAATATTACTTTAGCTCCGTAATAGAGAAATATTAAAAATAACTTTTACGGTTACGTAATGATTAAGAACTATAAAAATCAATCGTCTTATAAACACTTAATAATTGAATTTATATAGATGAAGGAGAATACTGATAAGATAAGATTAATCTTTAATTTTTTTTGATTTAATAACATACACGATACTTACAGCGCCAGCTTCTTTCTATAAATGGCTTTATATACTTTAAACTGTTAAATATCAATTGTAATATTGATCCGAAGTGAAAATGATCTAATAGATTAGAGATATAGCTTACGTTAAATTAACAATATGCGTTATTCTCTTCTTGAACCGAATTGATTTATTTTATAGGTATAATACTTCTCTGATAAAACTTTAATTTAAAAAACTTACATACATGGTAGTATAATTAAATACCTACATGCCTGTACAGTATAACTATGTATGAATATATATATATACCTGTACTTTATGTCTTTATACTGCGTTATATGATGGAATATATATATAACCAAGAATCTGTAATATTTGTTAGATTAATTAATTAGAGCTTTGTTCAATCAATCAATCAATATATATATATATATATATATATATACGTTTGTATGTGTTATTTAAGGTTGTAATGATAATACTACCATCACAATTTAATGTTTAAACACTACGTACAAATTGTTAATATTAATATGATTAACTTTTATATTCAACCTACCTTAAAAAAATTCTACTGTTCAATTCTTATATCAATAAAGAATATGATATAAGTGTTGGGCAAGATTAAAATATGGATTATTTTTTATACTTTTACATTAATCGTCAAAGGATGTATGGTGAATATTATTATATAAACGTTTTTATATATACAATGCATATTTTCAAGTATATCGATGACTGATTGCCGATATTTTTTAGTATATATTTTCCATCAATTGTTCTTCTCCCTTAATATAACATTGACATCAAATAGGATACGAGCTTTATTTCTATTTAAATACCTTATTATAGTTAATGTTTAAAAATAATTGGCTCTAGAAATGCTTCTTCGACAATACATTATATACAATGAGACAAAGAATATTGGTTTTTTGATAAAAAATAAGATCTTGATAGGTTGTAGAATGTTATTGTTAATTGATGCGTTCCTTTCATGCACATTTTGTAGAGAGTCTTTCAATTCTCTAAAACTATCAAAAACAAGAATAACGACTAGAGAGAGATATTTATTTGTATTCAACGTTGCATTTATTAAACTCGAAACAATATTAAAAAGTCTATTAAGGAAATATAAGTTAATAAACACCGTAACTAAGCTACTAAAGAGCCCTTTCCTCCTTGTCTTATCGGTTAAACCTTAAAACTTCAATATATACACATAATATAATTTTATAGTGTAAACTGGAATACTTCAATTATTCTTTTCTTTTCTTTTTCTTCTTTCAGTTTTATTGAAATATTTAGTTAACAAATAGAATGAGTATTACAACCTCTGGAGAGATGGAAAGGACAGTTTTACTGCCGCCAGATGGAGGGTAAGTTTCTCATAATATTTACCTGCAATTTATAAATATATATATGTATATATACTAGTACTACTACTACTACTTTGTTTATGTATATACATACATATATATATATATATATATACATGTATTATATATGTATATAGATATAGATATATTAATATATGTTAATTTATTCAAATATTTACTATTCGTTAATAAATAATGATAAAAACTATTACAATATATTTATATTGCTACTAATTTGAATATTATTAAGTGGACATTATTACTAAATACATATATATATATATATATATAGATATGGCTGGATGATATTATTTTGTAGTTTCATGCTTAATTTCCTAGTTGATGGCTTTATGTTTTCATTTGGAGTTTTTTATGTTAAATTCTTGGAATATTTTGAAGTTTGTCTATATTTGTTATCATATTTTTCAATATAATACGAAATGGAATATTTATATATACAACTTCTTTGCCTTATTTAGGCTTCAAAGGGAAAAACTTCACTGGTTGGAAGTCTCATTTATGGAATTTCTCTTTCCATGGGTACTCTATATATACTCTATGAATTTTTTTGTATTCTTTATTACTATTGATCCAATAGTATTCTTTAAGGTGAAATCTATTGAAAATTGAACTATAATTACGTTTCAGGACCAGTATTTAGTATAATAGTTAACAAATTTGGATGCAGAGTGGGAGCTATTATTGGAAGTCTGGTTGCATCTTTAGCACTAATCTTAGCGATATTTAGTCCTGATATAAACTTTTTAATATTCTCCTTCGGAGCTCTCGAAGGTAAATACTATCGTCAATATAACAATTAAATTCTTCTCATTTTGCAGTTGCTCTTCTTCCAGTTTTTCTACTTTTTTTTCTTTATATACGTTTAACCTTGATCTTTTCCCAATTGAAGGATTCGGCCTAGGTCTAATGCAACTATCGGCCCTTGTCATGGTTGGGCTGTACTTTAATAAACGTCGTGCACTAGCTACAGGTGAGATGACTAAAGTTACATATTTCAACTTAACCTTATACAAATAGCAATAATAATGGTAATAATAATATTTAGGTATAGCTATGTGTGGATCGGGAATTGGAGGATTCATTTTTTCACCACTATCAGAATTCTTAATAGAGTTATACGGTTGGAAAGGTACATCGTTAATAATGTCTGGTATACTATTAAATGGTGTCATCTTTGGCGGAATGCTTAGACCATTAAAGGTAATTTATAATATTTTTTCACCAACGGCTTTATAGCTTGAAGAGTCAAGTATAGAATTTCCTATCAACTAATCCATCTAGAGTCTGCGAAATAGTTTTACTTACTGTTGAGTAATTGAACGTGTATTCTTTCTCCTAGATTCAAGTTGAAACTTACGAAAATGACGAAAAGAATTCTGAAATAGAAACGTTTATAAAACCATCTAATGGAAATCAGAAAGATAAAGGAATATTCAATAGTGTACAATGTTTAAAGAAGCCAAAAATGAAAGAAAGTGAAAATACATACAAAAGTATGGATGACATACAGTCGATTAAGGTAAAAATTGAATACTGATTGAATATTTTTGTTATGTTTATACATACTGTTTTCTATTCCATTAACTTTTAAAAGGAAATAAGGAATAATATGCTCCTACATAAAATATATAGAAGGAAAGATATCTTTTATAGGTGCGTATCGATATTTCCTCTCTCTCTCTCTCTCTCTCTCTGTCTCTCTCTCTCTCTTTGTTTTTAATCTTTGCATTGACTTTCAATGCTATTGTTAGAACAGAGAAATAAAGGAGTGAAATTGCTAATATTTAATTACTTTAGCCGAGTTTTAAATCCTTTAGTGGCAGTATTGAAAAGCTTGTGAGCAGAGAACAAAAGGAAAAGCTAAATGATGAATTAGACAATGAAAAAGATACTCCAGAGAAAGAAGGCAGTAATCGTTTTAAATTCTTTATTAGAAATGTAAGTAGGCGAAAGTGTATCTTTGAATTTGAAAAAAGTTCATCTTTCCCTTTTGTCTATTGTTAGCACATAGACTTTTCTTTGCTATTGGATCCAGCGTTTGAATTATACGGGTTATGCTGCTTCCTGTGTATGATAGGTATATATTTTTAATACATTTTCTTACTATAATTTAATTCTTGTATGTAAACTCGTAATAACTTGTGGTTATAATATAATATTCAGGATTTTTCATTCCGTTCACGTGCAGTGTTGATGATGCTATTACGAAAGGAATAACAAAATCGGATGCTTCTTTACTTATATCAGTCATTGGTATCTCAAATGTGGTTAGTAGAATAACTAGCGGTTGGCTTTCTGATCAGATTTGGGTCGATTGTTTAACAATTAACGTAATAGCATTAATTATCGGTGGAGTTGCTACAATGTTGATACCGATAAGTCATTCGTTTTGGTCTCTTAGCATATGTTCTGCATTATTTGGCATGGGTATAGGTTGGTATATTACTGATTATAGATATATATTTTCACAAGTCATTTTATCAGATAATAATCACTTCTAATTTATGATAAGATTATAAATATAATCTTTGTTATCAATTGATTAAGTTTAACCTTCCACCAGAAATGTAACAAATAATTCTTTCATTAATTTCATATTTCCCCATTACTATCAGCTGTTTTCGTATCTTCGAGATCTGTGATTATGGTAGAATTGCTCGGTCTTGATAAGCTAACAAGTGCCTTTGGTTTCGTAACAATGTTCCAGGGGATAAGTTCCTTCTTCGGTGCTCCAATTGCTGGTACGCTTATAATTAAGTTAATTGCTTTATGAGAGAGTTTAATTTTATATCGAATCAAATATGTTTCAGGATCACTCTTCGATTCAAATGGAAACTATACGGCATCATTTATTTTGGCTGGTGCAACTCTTGTTTCGGCTGGAATATTTTGCATTCCTCTTCGAAAATTATCTGAACTATCCAAGAAGAAGATAAAAGTAACATCGGAATATGACATAGGAATACCTCCGTCGAAAACAGAACCTTATATGTCATGTTGAATTCTCTCTTTCTCTCGCTCTCTCTATCTTTCTACTTTTTATTTTTGTATAAGAAAAAAAAGAACTATCGATACGCCTAAAAAATGCATACATCATCAATTCTACATTCACATGAAAGTAATACGTTGTGAAATTTGTACGCAAAAGTATAAATGAAGCATAATTCGTGTATATTTTAAGTTATACTCTTCTTTATCTATATATATATATATATATATATATATAGATATATATATAGGTTTATATCATCGATATTCTATTATTAATATCTATATTTATAATAAAAATTACTCTTCATCTTCATCTTTAGATGATTTCTACTGATCTCGTTCGTAGTTCTTAGCAGGCGGAAGGAAAAGGAAGAAAGAAAGCAAGAAAGAAAGAATGAATGAAACGTACATTCAAACAAAACAAACAAACTTGCATGCACATACATCTTGCAAAAGGCTTTCGTTTAACATTAAAGACCGTAATGGTAAAAGTTGCGAAATAGTTAAGAACTATAACATATACAAATTCACGCCAGAGTGAATTTTCTTACTATAGCGTTCATAATTTTTTAATCATTTTCACATATAGAATGCCTAATTATTTACAGATTGTTAAACATAAAGGAAAATATCGAAGAGAGATGATTTTACACTAGAAACGATCGAGACGAGCGTTGAATTTTTGTCGCTAATGAGCAGAAAACTTATGTTTATATTATACAGTGTATATATATATAGAATTCTATATATAATTTTTGATAGATTTGCTGAAACCTTCGCCAAATGATTCATTAATTTCAACAATAATAAATCACCGCGTTATAAGATATTACAAAGAAAAGACAAAACCTTATCATTACATTCTGTTAAGAAGGAAAAGATTAGAAATATCCTCTATATACAGTAGATGTGGCGTTGAATATTTTATTTTCCAGACTGCTTAGCGCTGCGTTACTTATTATTGTAAATTTTTATTATAATAAATATTAAATAGGCAGAGTATAACGATTTTTAATCTTTTCATATTACATTGGTTGTTTTGTATAGTAAAGAAACAACCTTTTTTTGTAAGGTTCTATATAGAAAAGAAAGAAAAAACACCTAAGAATTCTAAATCATAAACTAATTATCGAAAGGCTTTATCTATTTGTAAAGATACACTTTTCTCTTTCTCTCTCTCTCTCTCTCTCTATCTTTTCATTTTCCTAAGATAGAAAACTACTATTTAGGCTCTTTGCTTGCAACACCAACAGACTTTAAAAGAACCCAAAATCAAACTAGAATAAGACAGAATTAACAACTATTTTTCGTTAATGTTATGTGACTGGAAGTCTTAACAATTATTATAATAATCTCCAACTGGTTTTAAGTAACGCTTTTATTTCCGAGAAAAACTCTGCAGTACTTAGTTTTTAAACGCGTGCCTTGCTTCTCACTATGCAAAATTCTTGTCAAAATAACCCGTCGCATATGTTTTACCTTTTACGATATGTGCAAAGAATAGAAAAGGAGAGGAGAGAAGGCAAGGAAGAGGATAATGAAAAGTTGGAAAAGCAAAAAATAGGAATTTTTTGGTAAAAGTAAGATAAAGAAGACAAACTGATATATAGAGAAGTAAAAAAAAGGTAAAGAACAAAGAAGAATTAAGTTACCATTCAATTGATAGAATATTCTCTATAAATAATAAAGATGGAACATTTTCTTCACGTTTTAACCTTTATATAGTCTAAACGAATTTACATTATTGTAAGAAGAAAACTTTAATAGTCTTGGAAAGTTTGTTGGATTAAAGGAGTATTATAGTTTTATCGTTTACGTTCTTTTAATCTAGAAATCTGGTATTTTTTTGTCTTAATGAAAAGGTTTCTCTCGCTTAGATAATTAGAGTTGAAGAAAATCGTTAGCAAAGTAAATCTGGAAAGGGAAATATAGTCGAAAAATCCTATTTACATAACAAATACAAACTGCTGAAAAGTATGTTTTCCCTATGTTTTAAGTTGGAAAAAGTAGCAAAAATTCTTTCAGTTACTCGTTCCTTTTTATTATTTCTATGCCGGAATCATGCGGTTAAGGAAATTAGATAAAGTCTGCCTTTGGGAGAATCTCTCACTTTCTATATGAAGGGTAAAAGCCGTTGTAAATGGCATTTAAAATAGAAATACTGTATATAGATTTATTTTCATTTAGTTCATTCTATAATAGACAATATATTGGAGGGTCTTTTAGGCAAAAATACGAAACTTATCTCTAGAATATCATCTCCTTCAATTGTCATATGAAAACCAAATTAATACTTTTCACCTGGGAAATATACAACTTGTTCAATGTTGGCTTTTTCTATTAATTATATATTCTAATTACCATTGGACTTGGAATATTATCAAATTAGTTAATGAATAAAGGCTTTTTTATACTGTACTGTATATGCAAAAGAAAATGAGAGTAATAGGGCTAAGTCGCCAATATACTCAAAAAGAAATCTGTAGCTCTTCTACTCTACTTGAAAAAAGAATCTTAACGAACCTAAACCTTAAAATAATTGATAGCAGTAACGAGATGTACAATTGAAAATGTCCTCTTTGTTATTTCAAGTATTTCCCCCTCTCCTCCACTTTCACTAATCTGGGGGATTACCTTTATAGATTAATTTTTCGGATCTGCCTTTTTCCAGTTTTTCTTTTATCTATGTGTCTGTCTGTCTGTATGTCTGTATGTCTGTCTGTCTGTCCCCCCCTCTCTCTCTCTCTCTCTCTCTCTCTGTCTTTCTGCTAAAGAATATAAATAAATTAGTATATAAATAAGATTGCAAATAGTATTCACGTTTTCCTTAATCTTCTCTTGAAGTTGGACTTTCAAATCCTATTGACGAAATTTATAAGCGGCTCGATTTTTGCTTAGGTCACCTTACTTAAAAACCTCTAAGCAATCAGTCTTTTCCTGCCTGTGAATTTGGACGCCAATACACCAAGTCAAAGCCATTGGTTGGTCGCTTAGTTCGCTTTTGTCTGCTAAATCGCTAAAGAGATATATACGCAACTAGTAAAGCGTCATTCTTTAACCTTCCACTAGAAGAGGAAGCTTATCAGTTTCGATTTAAATAAAAGTCTGTAAAATTCTTTCGAAAGCTATGAACAATTCAAGCTTACCAACCTTTGAAATTTCAATTTATTTCTATATATGGACAACCGTTACATATTCTATAATATTTTTATTTGGCATATTCGGAAATGCATGTGTGATTTATATTGTGGCCAGAAATAAATATATGAGATCAAATACAAGTATCATGTTGGTAAATTTAAGCGTCGCTGATATTCTAGTTCTTCTAGTTTGCATGCCTTCGGCAATGGTTGATATCTTTGCTAAAGAAGTCTGGTATTTTGGCAAAATTATATGTAAGTATTAATAACTGAGAAGTAAAATGTAATAATAGCAATAGCAATAGTATAAAATGATAATATTAAAGGAAAGGTAAGCTCTATTCCTTTTTTCATTATTCTTTATTTCTTCTCTTATCCTTTTACCCCTCCTTAGTTCATTGAGATATTTCGAGGTTTTTATCTCTATTTTATCTCCGTCCATCGCATTCTGTTGCCAATATAAAAGAAAGTGATTCGTAGAAAGGGAAACGAGAAAAAAATGACTGTCAAATTAACTGGTGGTATTACGATTACTCGTGATACAGTTTCTTTCTCCATCATCTCTATTTCCCTCTTACATCTCATCTTACCCCTGAAAGAAAGCATGAGACAAACAAATCAATACTTTTTTAGTAAGTGTTATACAAATTAGATCAATTATAGAAATAACATAAAACAATTGATTTTGGAGATTAGTTTGAAAGGGAAATGTAAAAGTAGATAAATAAAGATTAAGTAACAAGTGGCAAGTAAAAAATATCCATATTATCAAGTTATAAAGGTTACATCTATATATAAATATGTAGAAACAAACAAAATATTACAAGTTTTACCAGTTTTATCACTTTTATATTGTTTATATTTCTTTTTAATAAAGTAGCCTTTATCAAAGATTCAAAATGTAGGTTTTTACGGAATGAAACCAGGGACATCTTGCTCTCTCTTTAGCCAATACTAAAATATTTATTCTTCAGTAGTAACTTTTTATAGCTTTGTACAGTTAAATAGACGTTGAGAGAAGGATAGAGAGGAGAAAATGGTAAAAGAATTACAATAAGGCAAATTTAGATAACACTGGTTATCGTGGCTCTGACAGCCAATTACTAATTAATATTATTTCTTAATGAATTATTACAATTATCTTAGTTAATATTTATAAAACACAGTTAATTAAACTCTTGTTTTATGTAGTTCAGAGCACATTTCAGTTAATAATTTATTAAAAATGAACTGTTAATCTATGTAGCAAAAGGTCATAAATTATAATATTTATATTTATCCTAAATGAGCAACGAAAGATAGCATCACTCATTTTCTTATGTCGTTTTTTCTTTAATTGGTTTGTCAGTTGAAAACAGATATTCCAAGTATTCCAATACGAATGCTAATACTTTTATCTATAGGGGTAAATAGGCTGTTTGTAAACTACTAATAGCTGACCAAATATGTATCAACTGGGGCTTAGAAGAAGAGATAAATGTGTTGAATACTAGATAGACTATATTATAATTTATAATCATGGAATATTAAACATTCTTTAATTATTGCAGACTTTATTTTCTCTTATAATAGAAAGCTTGAACAAATCATTTGCCAATTATTCAAGTTTTTTTGTATAATGTTCACTTTTGAAATTTCTTTCGCTTTTAGACTTTACTACTATTCAGCAATGAAATTTTTTACAGCAAGACTCCTCTCTTCTTTATAGTTCCCTTAGGTTACATCCAACACATTATCTTCAAGTATATATTCAGTATCAGAAGAGTAATGTTATTAAAGGTCTTTTAATTAAAAAAATGGGAAATAGGACGACGATGACAATATAATAAATTAGAAAATACAAATAGTATACTGTACAAAGTAATAGAAA